AAGGAAATAGGCAGCAGTACCAGTTATTACCCAGATAAAGAAGTAGCAGGTGGGGAAAGAAAACTCACATTTAATAAAGAGATTAGCTTCCCATATTCTTTCCGGATGTTGCGACTGAACTCTTTGCTTCGTACTGGTAAATTCGAGAACAACTTCCTAACAGTGACAGTGGTACCAATTTGACGTGCAGTTTTCTTTTCAGCCGTTAGTAAACCTGAATGATCAAATGTCAAGTGTGTCGCAACTGACTCGTTTTTAGTTCTTGTTTCAACAGTCAGATGCCCTAATGCACAAAGAGAACTTAATGCCTCCCCTCTAAAACCAAATGTTGTCAAAGACTGAAGGTCATGAAAATCTGACAGTTTAGAAGTATGGTGCTTAAGTGCAAGAACCTGCACCACAGGGAATCACGACAAATGAGTTGAAGAACAAAATAAGTAAGAACATATTCATTTAGGATCCAAAACCATGTTTAAGAACATATCCATCATAACAATCTAAGATGTGAAGAACAAAATAAGTAAGAATCAGAAGTTACTGATCATTCGAAATCAATCACTCCCTTAATCCTACGAATATGGGCAAAGGAAATTAACTGTGCATCAGTCAAGATCTCAATTTCCATACAACCTCTAAAGCTAGACCAAAAAAAAAAAGGACATTTCTAACTCATTAATCACACTCAGGAAAATAGAAGAAAAACCCAAAACTCATACCAAAATCCAAACGAAACGAAAAATACAGGACATTTCTAACTCATTAATCACTCCCAGAAAAAGAGAAGAAAAACCCAAAACTCGACCAAAATCCAAACGAAACAAAAAATAGCAAAATAAGAATGACTAAACCAGAGCATCCCTAACTCAAGCAAATACAAGGCAGTCCAAAAATCCCCTTCGAAACATTTAACTTTGACATACGAAAAGCTAACACATCCCTTTTCGGTTCGAAGTACACTACCTTGAAGTTACTTGGCGAAATGCCGCAACCATTATCGATGACCTGAAACGACTCCTGGCCGTACTCCTTCAAAGCAATTTCAATGCTGGTAGCGCCAGCATCCAAGCTGTTCTCCACCAACTCCTTCACGGCAGACGAGAGGTCCAATATGACTTGCCCAGCACATATCCTGTGAACCACGCCTTTGTTAATAAGCCTTATGGTTTGAGAGTGCGCATCGGCTTCCATTTTAGATTTGAACCCTAACTAGAACGAAATTTTCGCATTCTAAAATGTTAATTGAAAGCGTTTACGAGCAATCTCCCAGTGTTCTCGACAAGATGTTTCTCGGTGAGACTCCGGATATCAAAACCTGGTTAGCGAACAGGAATTACCAAGAAGGGAGACGATGAAGTAGTCACTTGGCTGGTACAATTTGGTGATGTATCTGTCCAGGAGAGAAGGAGAAGACACGAAGAGAACCAGTTAATGCCGCCGCTGCCGGTAGAAACTTATGTTACGGGGAAAATTATGTTATGGGATGACATTCAAAAATCTGGACATATTTTAAAAACCATAAATAAAGTTTTAGTTTTAAATAAAATTGAATAATATATTCAAAATTATATTACTAAAAAATATTCATTTTATCTTTTTAGATTCCTACATATTTTTATTATCTTGCAAAATTTTAAATTTAATAAACATAAAAATTGATAGTAGTAGAGTTCTAGACTACCAAAAGGTAGTCCGAAATTCAACACGCTCGAGTTGAAACAGTTTCGATGACTTTTAAAATTTTAAGGTATAATTCATGACATTTTAGGTTATCTTATTGAATTTTAATTTTATAATAATTGTGATCCGTATAATATAATCTTTAATCGTAATGTTACATTTATTTTAAGGTTATCCGATAAGCATGTAATCTATGAAATTATTGCCCTAGAAAAATTAATACACTTTGAGGAAGGATAAATTACATGACCCATTTGGTTTTTTCACCTATCATATTTGTTTTCTTGTACTTCCGAATCGATATTTCGAAATAAAGAAGAATCATACTTGGAATCAATTCTACTCGTACTTCGAATTCCCTAAAAAATGATTTCTAAGTTCTCAAACAGACAAGTGATATTTAGAAATCCATTTCCAAGAAACTCAAAACAGTAGTAGAACCAATTCAAATACAAACACTTTGATTCAATTATACTTACCAAGAACATTGAGTAGAAACTGAAAAAAAAAAAAAAATGACTGGAGATTCTCGACATTGCTAACTGGAAATCAAGCAGTATGACCAAGCTTATATTTAAGCACCCAGACAATCATCAGAGGGTAATATCAGAGAGAGATTATAGAGTTTGCTTCAATTACCCAATCAGTAGTAATCTTCCATTGATTGCAACTCATAGCATTACAACTTCCATTGGAGGGTCAGAGAATCAGAGTTTGCTAAGATGCTTAACCCACAAAGAATGTCGACCTTCGGCAATTACTTCTCCGGTTGCTTTGTTTCTTAGAACTACAAGCGTTCCGGAGTAGTTTCCTCTTTTTCCTAAAAGCCTTGAAGTGACTTCTAACTCATCCTGCAATTTGCCATCAAGTCATGAAAATTATACTACCAAGGTTTACAAGTTTATCTTTTGTAGATCTGACAATTGCAAATCAGTTCATCACTTTCTTTCTAGCCAGGAGACTGAACTCAAAAAAGCTAGAAACAGACTTCATCATCATGATTAGCCTCTGAACTAGTTAAGAAACATGTTCTGCGTCAAAAGATACTAGTATTTCTGACTAGAACTATAGTTAATTCGACTGAATAAGGAGAAGCCATTTGTGTTCAGTCAGAGCAAACGTTATACAAAAATCTTATAAATATACAAGTTAACGTAGTAGAGACATGAGCTGAAATCAATTATATAATATATAGTGTATATATAATCATGAAATGTAATCAGATTAAACTGAAGTTTTTAAATGTAGATTTATTTGCATAATGAATGTACTGCGCGTATACGATAAACACTTGCTTACATCGAGCTTCGCAGTCGAAAGAAACGAAATAGACATATCCACGGAAACATTAACGCTGAGACCCTGGATATGAACTGGAGCATTACCGACCTCATCAACAAGGTTTATAATAGCACCTGTAGCCAAATTTCCATTCCTATCCTGGAAATTCAAAACATCATATTTCAATTGAAGATCTACTAATTCAGCAACGAAAATAAGAAGGACCTGAAATTTTTTGCTTAGCAGCACTAATTATAACATTGACGATAGGGGAAAAAAAAGGGAGATCGGATAAGCTAAAATTTTTAATCAGAATCAATAATGGAGGGAGACAAATGGATAAGAGCGCCTACAGTGAGGCGAGGAGGGACTTTGAAAGTGCAGGCGACGAAGCCGGCCTCGACTCGATCAACTCGGATGCCTCTCAGGGCAAAATCTTCGTAGAAACTCGGAGGGATTCCGGTTTGGTGAGGGTGAACAACGAGATTCGAGACGATCTCCGATTCTTCCTGACTCAATTGCAGAAACTCCCTTGCTTTATCCATGTCCACCCTCGCTTAGCGTCTAGGGAGCCGCGAGTTTGTGTTCAATATTTGCTCAAATACACGCGCCATTCCTTAAAAGTAAAATGCTCTGAGGTGTTCAAATATAATTTTTAATTTTAAAAATTCAATAATTTCTTTTTATCAAATAGAAATATTAAAACAAAGTATTTAAAATTTTGTAAAATATAAAATAAACAATTTCAAATATTCTTTATTTATTTTACTTATATTACTGAACCAGTTCATTAAAAATTTTACTCCCTAAAAAATTAAAATTTAGCCTTGCTATATATTTATTTTAAAAAATATGAATGTTTGTTCGAGATTAAAAATATTTTGTTTAAAACTTTTCATTAATTTACGAATTTTTAATTCGATTATGGTGATAAATTCCTCAATAAATAATAATTACATATCAAATTAATACGATTATGATATGTATTGGTAGTTTGACTCGATCATCAGTTTAGCAGTATCCGGTACATAATTCGAGCACTTGAAACGAACAAAAAACATCTTAGACAATTGGCCTGTAATGCACCATCAACAGCCTAAACCATACATTTTACATCAAAGAGAGGCTCATCAAAACATTCATAAAAGTATTGGCACTGTTTTCACTTCATATATGTGTATATGTATGTATGTATATAACTTGCTATAAGGCATATCACATGCACCAGCAGTTTGATTTGATTATCAGTTAAGCATCATCCATTACATGGTACAGGCATTCAAACAAAACATCCCTTGACACACAGGATGTATGAGGTATCAGCTAGTATACAGAACTTACGTTCAAGACATTCTGTGAAGCAAACATGCCATCAGAGCTGATCTTTATTAATATCAATACATATTGATGGTCTGACTATACGAGAGAGGATGATCGAACTGCGATTCCATCAATTCTTGAGATTCGCAATTGTGGCGCCCAACAGTGGAAATAATATCATAGAAAAGGTTTACAGAATAAGGTTCTTCATCATACAATATCTGATCTTCGTTTTGTTGCAAATTATTTCTGACATCATTAAATTGCAGCAACTAATGGGAGAAACCACAACACAAGGCAATGCCACTGAAGATCTTCTAAGAGCATGGTTGGTACTTGGTTGGCATTCGATTTCAAAGTTTGTTAAGTGGTTTAGCAAACAGTGAATGTCGGCCTTCGGCAATTATTTCCCCGGTTGCCTTATTTCTCACAATAACACTGCCTGCACCATAACCTCCCCTTCTTCCCAAAGCCTTTGCAGTAATTTTCAACTCGTCCTGCACTTGGCATTAAAAAAATCTGAAAATGGTACCAAACCAAATGCTGAAAACCTAATTCTTGGAAGTACTTAGCTTCTTAGAAATGCTATTGCATGGCCAGTTTATTACCTTCTAGTCAGGAGATTGAGCTCAAAAAAGAAGACGACTTTTGATAAGAAATGGAAAGAAGCTAAATATATTTAGTGCTAGGAAAAATTGACATAATAGTAATATGCTTTCAAATGTTTTACATTATTATCTAAAGCATTTGGGTAATATTTAGCTGGAGTTGGGAGATTTTGAATCTACCTCTCCTGTTTGTGTTCTTTCAGTTCTTTCCTCTTCTATTTTGCCTTCATCTTAACCTTCAGCATCTTCTAGATCTCACCCTACTACCCTGATATGCTTTCCCCTCATTCCCTAATTTCCTCTGCTCTCCTTTTGTTTTATGTTTCCATCTCTAGCTCCTCTCTTTGTTCTTTCCTTGTCTCCCCCATCCCTAATGTATCTTCACCCTAGTTCCCACTTTTTACTTCTCTTTAGTTCTATGATTTATGTCTAACCTCTCCTGATCATTTTTCACCTCCTGTTTGCTATTCATTCTTCCCCCTTCTTTTAATTTCTCAACTCTAAATTCCTCTGTGTTGGAACCAATGGAGCTCATTTGTGGAATCCATTCAAAAATTTATACTTATCAAAGACAGTAAAAATTCATGAAGGATAAAGATTAGCATATTAAACAATCCTAATTGGAAGTAGAACACTACATTCTAATCAAAATTGGTAAGTCTGATAAGTGAAACTGGCAAATTTGATCAACAGGAGAAATTAGGAATACCTTGTGTTCTACTTATCAACTCATTATACGGTGCAGATCTCTATAACATACAACATTATAACATTATTACATTGGAGATCTACTTAAATGCAAACCAAGGATCAAAAGATTAGATTGACTTCAGAACTAACTTCTAGATCAGTATTCATATTCCGTGCACCAAGCTAACTTGTATACCAAACCGGTGAACAAACTAAGCAGTCGACTACTTACGTTGATCTTTGCAGGTGCAAGAAACGTGATGGACATGTCCACGGAGAGATTAACGACGGCACCTTGAACATTAATAGGAGCATTACCAACCTCATCGATTAGATTTATAATAGCACCTCTGGCCAAATTTCCATCCCTATCCTGCAAAAGTTAATACCAGAAATCTGTTTTTAATTTCAATTTCACAGACGCAGCTGCTATGCACAGAATTTCAGCAAGAAAGAGTTAAAGAGATGGTTTAGGGAGCTTACGAGGAGGCGAGGAGGGACTTTGAAAGTGCAGGAAACGAATCCGGGTTCTACTCGGTCGACTCGGATGCCTCTTAAGCTAACTTGTTCGAAGAAGCTCGGAAGGACTCCGAGTTGATTAGGCCAAGGGCGAACAGGGACTCGTAAGACAGTCTCCTCTTCTTCCGGGCTCAGCTGTAGAACCTCCTTGGCTTTATCCATGTTCACCAGTTCGCTGCGTGTTTGACTATTTCCACGGCTCGTTGCAGACGGAGTGGACGTAGAAAAATAAAGCGTTATAGTTTATTTATTTATTAATGGTTTGTCTCATTTCTTTGTAACGAAATATATATTTAAAATAATTTCTTGTGGAATTTATTTATAATTTTATTTATATTTTAATTATAATACGATAAAAATACTGCAATTAATTCTGGGCCCAGTAAACGCACCACATTAACATAATATGATATTAAATAAAATTATTATATTTTATCAACAAAATAAAAATTATGAATTTAAATTTTAATAAATATGTTCAGTTCATCAATTATAAATTAATAATAATTAATATATAATATTTAATTTAATAAAATTTAAATAAAAAAACTATTTTATAACAAATTAATTTCTTTAATTAAGGTTAAAAATTAAAGTGATATTTTTTTTTAATTTATTAAAAGAAATTATTTGTTTATACACCAAATGGTAGTGTCCAACATCACATTAGTATTTACTAGGTGTATTATAAGTTGGCACTCCATAAATTACTTAATTTTGTTCTTTTACACACCAAACAAAGTACATTATAATATTTCTTTTTATAATGGAAATCAATGTACTTCAAACGGTAGAAAATTAATTTAGCTGAAGCCTGAAGCAACATACAATGAACAGCCAAAATACCTCAGAAAAACCAGTTCCGATGAGATGTCGAAGCACCTACTGAACTTGCTATGAAATGAAACTCAAGACAATTTTTCATAATTGAATGGAAGTAGAAGTAGAAGTAGAAGGCAAAGAAACTGCTTTACTCAATAAATTTCTAATAGAGTAAGGAATTCAGAGAAGTATCTATACTGCTCCACCATCCAATGTGCCATTTCGATGTCAGTGCGTCGGAAGAAAAATTCACAAGGATTTCTTGATGGATATGGTCCACAGAAGATCAGTGTCGGATTCAACTGTTATTTTCTCTGCTTTAACCAAATTTGATGTGCTTATCAAACCACCAAACTTCATTTCTGTCTCAGCTGGAATGAACAAAAGCATAGTAAGTATTAACTTCAAGTTACCATGGGGACGAACTTAGGGCCAGAGAAGATGGGAAAAACTTACCATTTAAATGTTAATAAAACTATGAAAAGTCACAGAGAAATGTTTGCATTCCACTTACCAAGATCCCATTGG